ATGAAGGAATTTCACAGTAATTCCTTTTAACACGAGGGTTGGTTCATAAGTTTCATTTTGTTTTATGCTTCCCATTCGAAAAAAGTGATACAGTATTTTATCGATTTTCAAGCAAAATTTTTTGCACAACCAATAAGTTGAAGTGGAGAGCTTTTAAAATGCCTTAAGGAATCAAGGCTAATATCTGATGGGTTTGAGGCCGTCCAAGTAATAAAAACGTTTCAAATTCCTGTAAATTCCCCCGATGATTATGTCTCATATTTTAAAAAACCATTTGACAAATTTAGATCCTGGCGATTTCAGTCCTATTACTAATACAGTATTTCAGTTTGCGGGGTTGTAATTGAGAAAAATCCTTAGCGAATGAATTGAGGCTCTCTTTTAAGTTCCAGTTATTTATCCTTCGAAAACCTTTTCAAACTTGAGAACCACCCCTCTCCATTTTTACAAAGCTTTCGATATCGATAATTTCCGTATTTTTTTGTGTCTGAACAATATTATCTTGGATCTGCTTGAAGAAGAATTCTGCGAATCACCAGTTGACCCCACTTTAAATGTGTATACAAAAAAAAAGAAGAAAAACGTTGTTTCGTTCCCTGTTTCGGTGTGAGGTGGTCAACGGATCTGTGATTTTGTAAGCGAAAAAAAAGGAAAATGTTCTTGCGTGAAACACCTTGGATTCCAATATTTGCCCTCCAAAAAAAAAAGTAGCTGGTGCTTTATTTTTCCTCCTATTTTTTCTCAAACCGGCGGAAAAAGGGGGAAAAGCCTAAATTGTGATGTTTCATCCTCGGCATGGTGTTGAATATAAATCAATGGTTGTTTTCTTTTGGACAAAAGAGAAGCAGAAAGTTTTTTTTGTTTTTGTTATTTTAGTTGCAGTGCAGAGAGAAAAAAGCTTTCGGTTGTTGAATTTTTTTTCTCCCCGGAAGGAGGGAAAACGGAAGTATTAACTCGGTGTCGTCCAGCAGCTCTTTTGCACACTTTCGCTGTGCCAAAAAAAAATTTTGTTTTCCTTCTGCAAAAAATGGCCCTGTGATTTTTTGAGTCCCCGAAAAGAAAGTGTCCCTACCCCCCTTTTTAATTTATGAACTGTCTTTCGAGGCAGAGAATCTCTGTGTGTTTTATGCTTTCGGTGTACACCTTCGTGTTGAAATTGAAATTTTGCCACTGATGTTCTGGGTGTTAGTCGCGAGGATTTGTTGATGGGATGTTGAGAAAAAAAAAAGGAGAAGGAGCGGAGGAAAATTTGGTGGAAAATGAAATACAAACGGAGCTGTGTTTCGGAAAAAAAATCGTTTATATCTTCTCAATTACGTGCCATTCCGGACAGTGCCAAAAAACAGGTTCTAACAAAAGCACATTTTTTTCCTGACTAGAGGATCGAAGGCTCGAGGTCAACGGCAACAAAACACCGATAAACAGGCCAAAACAATTCGATGCCTGTGGGGATGAACCTTCCCTGTATAGAAAAGATGGCGTCTTCTTAACCGGAGCTGAAAAGAAAAAGAGAGCGACATCTAGTCATGACAAACGCAGGTGAGGGACTAGAGGACCAATATGGCCGCCAACTGACCTGCTGCTGCTGGAGCCGTGGCCGTGCTTGTGCCCATGCTTGTGGCCATGCTTGTGTCCGTGTTTGTGGCCGTGCTTGTGCCCGTGCTTGTGGCCGTGTTTGTGGCCGTGCTTGTGGCCGTGTTTGTGTCCGTGTTTGTGGCCGTGCTTGTGGCCATGCTTGTGGCCGTGCTTGTGTTTGTGGACGTGCGAATGCTTGTGTTTGTGGGAATGGGAATGCTTGTGCTTGTGGTACAATACTCTGCAAAACAAAAATGAACATTATTTGCACTTGAGATTCAATTGCGTTGCATGCATGGAAAATGTGCCTTTTGAGTTTGACACATTGTCCCTTTAAATTCTGTGACATACTTCTACGAAAAAGGTCCCCACTATATGATATTTTTTTCTAAAAAGACACATTTAATAAGTCATGGGCATATAATGTATCGAACATTTCCGTTTATAAAATTAAGCATCAGGGGCTTAAGACAATTTTGAACTTGTAAAATTTAACTCTTGTCTGAAAGTGAGCAGAATAACCTCAAATGAAATTACAATGCAGTAATAGGAAATTCGGTGTATTTTAATATCTGGCAATTTGATCTGTAAATTTTGTTAGATTTGCACAGAAAAATAATCATGGGGATTGTCAATCTTTATTCATATGGCTAATTATATGCTGTGCATAATACTTGTGCTAAATTTTTCAAGAAATTCATCTTTTTTTAGACCTTCAGTTGAACACTTTCAGCAAAACTATCTCTGGGACTCATAAAAACAATATGGAATGTCTTTTTTGAGAATCCGAAATCAAAATAATTGTGCATAGCTTGACCTCACTATATAGAGGATTTAAAAATATTAATCAATCATAGATGATACTTTGTCCGATTTTGCCTTGTTTCACGTGGGATAGAAGCTGTTGAGGAATGCAGGCTATATTTTTTCCAAGTGGATCAGATTAAAATATAAATATCACTAATAAGTAACACCTGTTTCAGCATAGTTCGCATAAAGTGGAAGCTCCGGAGTAGAATAGATACACTATTACCGTCACAGCTGAAAAAAATTTAGTATGGAGTATTTTTTTGAAAATGCATTCAACAGCAGTTGCACACGGATTTTTACATGTTGGAATTTTATATTACTTTTTGTAATGGAATTGGCCTCATTAGAGCTCAATCTGACGAATTTCAATGCTCCTCATTCAATCACAGATGATTCCAAAGCTAATTTTGGCCGATTATTCTTGCAGAGGCATAAATTAATTTTATTGCACAATCAGGCCTTGAGCAGTCAACCTAATCGGGTTTAGCAGCCAAATTATTGCCTAAGGCATTAACTATCCAAGACATATTTTCCCGTAGTAACCTACGGGGATTTAAGTGATTGATTCAGTGCAAAATGATATCAAAGTCTTGACAAATTCAAAAGTTGGCAAGAATGCAAAGAAAACATTAGGGATTAATGATTTAGCTGAAAATTCATAACAGAAGGACATTTTTAAGTATGAAAGAAGTTGAAGCTTATTAAAAATATGAATTCCTCTTGAAATTCTAAATTGGGGATTCACTGTCTTGAAGAGTTTAACTTCTCATAAATTTTCAAATATTTCTTTCAAACATTGTTTTTCCTGCTAGTTGAGGTTAGTTTATTGCACATTGAAGCAAAATCACAATTAATAGGAGCTTTTTTTTGTAAAAAGTTTGCTGCTTAATTATAGGGTTTTTGTCCCTCAATACGCTATGTACATTTTATGTCTTTTTTAGCAGAAAGTTTAACTTTTGATAATGGAAAAATGCGTTTGCATTTTAGTTATCTCAGGATAAACCAGGTTTACACTGACTTTCCGCCACTACTTGAGCTGCTGCCAGGATATGCCAATGGACTGGCCTCAGGGTCAGCCAGAGCCTCAGGTTCAGGATCAGCCAAAGCAAAAGCCCAGCACATCATGACTGTGCCCAGCATCAACAGTGCAATTGTCAGCTGCAAAATTGAATAAAAAAATTAAATTTTCAGCATGCCAAAATCCTATGAACTTTGCATGGATCGAAAGCAAAATTTCTCTCCAAAATTACTGCTGATGTAAGTAGCCCTGTGATCAGGGTTTCCAATATTTTTCTGAATTCTTCCTGGTGATGAAATTAGTTCACTAAATTTGAATACTATATTGCATAATGCATTTGTGAATTTCTGAATATTCCTTTTGACTTTACAAATGTTAAATTCCGGGGAACCTCAGGAATTATATCCTCAGGACATTCACAAGAAGTCTACTAGCTCTCACCAGGAAGTCTCGTTTATTCTTCCATGCGACTTTTACGGATTTGAATTTTCAATCAGATGTACCAACTGATCTCATCTTTATGTGATGCTTTTTTATTTTTTTCCTCCAATTTTGTTTTCGGATAATTCATTTTCTCGCGGATTTTCCGGGAGCAAGTCGGCTGCCAATATGCATCCACACCACAGCCACACTTCCACACTCACACAGGGACTCACTCACTCACCTTCATGTTTTCTCCCCGAAAGAAGGATATAAAAATCGAGAGAAAAAAACA